AGCTTCAGGTTATGAAGTTTTTGAAGCTGCGATCCCCCCCCCCCCCCCCAGCGGGGATGTTAATGAAAGACCTTTTAGCTCGCGCACGCAGGTGCTCAGCAGCTACCGAGGGTAGATTTGGTATTGCCGTTCAGTGCTCTTCTCAGTGGTCTACATCCCATCTGAGAAAACTCCTTCCATCGAGAATGCTGTTGTAAGAGTAGCGTGTAAGGATATACAGACTGAAAGTACTGATGTACGAGTATCTTTGAGCCTACAGAGCGTTTACTTTAGATGATTTATTTCTTTGAAGGCAGTGGTAACGTCAAACTACGTACAACCGATGTAATATAGAGGGAAGAGATCTACCTCTTAGAGAGAAAGAATAGATGTATTCAATGTTACTATTGGAGGTCGAGAGTAGTGCTAACAAAGATATGCGCACGATTGCTCAAGTGTTTTCTAGCGGAATAAGGGAGACAACAGCTTTTAAGACCCTCGCCGGAGGAGTGCTCCAGTAGATGTTGAGCAAATCAGTGCACTCAAGTGAGAACGCTACATCATGTACATCTCTGGGCAAGCAGTGGAATGGCCGCCATCTGGCGATTTTTTGAGGGACTGCATCGAAAACTGCGAATTAGATAGAATGTAAGACGGCTACAGCTCAGGAAAAATAACACAATGTAAGCGAGCAGAAGCGAAAAGAATAGAATAGGTGACCTATGTTCTGATATCAGCTACGAGAGAAAGTGATAGACGGTGGAATAGACGGTGAGCTAATGCTTTCGAATATTATGTGTTCGAGAATCCTCCGGTAGCCCCGACGCATACCACTTAGCAAGCCTAATCTCAATGCTTTTTGAAGCACTTCCATGCTGAATGTCTCCTCATTTTACTTTCATAACAAGCATTATCGATGGGCGATTTTCTGGCGTTATCCAGACTTTTTTGTTCGCTACCGTAGTATGCGCACCCCTACATGACAGAAAAGAATAGTTGAGTGCTTCGAATTATGGGTGCAGTTTCTGAAACATGAGATTGGTGGTTATGGCACAAGTTTGCAAGAGTATGAGAACAAAGCAAAGCGTTCTGCAACATTTTGACTCGCAAGCAAACGTTGGATATGATGTTTTAGAAAGCTCTCGAGTGAACACACTTGAGCGCGCGAAAATGCAATTCTCCGACATTTTGACTATTTAGAAAGCAGCATAAGATCGAAATTTAAGCTAAGAATCAAGGAAAATGACGGAGCATGAGAGATTAGTCAGAGATGGAAATAAAATCCACGCACCTGAAGTGTCACGTGCATTCAGCTACCTTTGTTGCCACTGGAGAAGCTCCATTGAATCCAACCAGAGTCCCTTCACATTTGCCTCACTATTGTGATCGGAATGTAGAGGATTCAGACGAAGCACTATTCGTAACGAAAATTCATGGAACTAGGGCAACGACAGCGCCCTCATATCAAAAAAGAACGCAAGACACTGCAGCTTTACGTAGCGACCGCCTTATGCGGTATGAGTGTATGAAAGCAAGGAAAATCATCGGAAATTCACTAGCAAAGCAATAAAAGTCGAAAGTGAAAAGGCGTGCGAGCTAAAGGCATTTCCTAAACGTGACATGCTGCACAAATTCTGGTAACAAAAACATCAACTTTGACTGGCTTTTCCGCTTTCACAGTTAGCAAACTTTGATCTAAACTTTTTTGTGTTCGGAGGTCTGTTTGTTCCGATATTTATTTGGCCGTTCAATTTGTTGCCATGGAGAGTGAAGTTTTTTCTCTTACACTGTGAAAAGGCCGATCGCTTCAGAAGCCCGCATTCGCATGTTTATTGCAGTTGTTTCCAGCTTTTCTACTATGATGAAAGAAATTTGATGGAAGCTTATGCAGTCACCAAACCATAGGTACATACTGTGCTGCTTACAAATCATTCCTATTTGGTGCACCATTTATTTACACAACATTTGTAGCATTAATTATTCCGTTTACAGACATGTTCAAAATTTTGTAGTCTCGCTTAATTATTAAGCTGTTCATTCATAATATTTTCGCACTCAATTTCACGAGAATATGCTTATCCCTAGTGATTGCTGTTTTAACCAAGACCTTATGAGCTCGATTTCCAGATTCAAAGTTTCTAAGCCTTTTGCAGAGTTTGAGGCACATTTAAAAAAAAAACACCTGTAGCATTAAATTCATGGCATGCATCACTAGCGCCTCAGTCGCACCATTTGGAGAAGAAAATTTCTGTTGCAGCCGCAAAGAAAAACCAATCACGAAGATGACATTCATAGGTTATTCCTGATTATTAGGCATCGAATTACTCGAGGCTGATCTACTACAGGGTATCCCAAAAGAATGTGCCTACTGTTTGAATTGTTAATAACTCTCTTGTAGTGAAGTCTTCGGAGAAGCTCTAGGTACCATTTTGTAGAGCTAGCTTCAACTTAGATTTACATCATAGAAAAATCATCCATCTCTCTTCATTACTGTGAGATTACGGTAGATTTCAAAGAAGGTTTTGAGCCAAGAAAGGCCTATTTTGCCTCAGAAAGGAAATAAAGCAGCCTGAAAACTCTCACCTGGGTTCATTAGAGTTGCTGATTCAAAATATGAAGCTTGCAACTTATCATGATGTGCCATAAAAAAGTTATGCGAGGTAAGCAGTAGTGGCCGTTCTTTTAAATGTTCCTAAAAAGTGCAGTTACACCATTTAGAAAGCTTCACAATCTTGTACATAATTGAGTATCGAACTCGTTGTCCACGAAAACACTATTACATAAATTTTCACTTTTTTTGAAAATTTTCCTAACGGCACTTTTTTCATAATATTACCATATACTCGAAGTTTCTACCGTAATCCTACAGTGATGAAGAGCGATCGGTAATTCGCTCTAAACTGCACATCTAAGTTGAACCCAATTTAGAAAAGTACTCAAAGCTTCTTGGAAGATTTCATTACAAGAGAGTTATTTACAACCAAACAATTGGCACATTCTTTTGGGACACCCTGTATATACGCAGGGTTGTTATTTCTTGGTATTTTGCTCAGCACTTGCCAACTGAGCAAAATCAACGCGGGAGCCCCTACATGCTGAATTTTCACATCTGTCCGGACGCTGCACTTGTATGGTCATAAACAGATACGATCATAAAACAAACAAGACTTAATGGATAGGAACAATTTCCAAAATAAAATGTCTTAACCACGCGGTACACAGCAGCCCATTTGCGCGCGAGAAGAATAGAATATCAGAGAAGCAGGCCGCATCACCATTCTGAAACTTTGCCCTGGAGCGCATAAAGAATACGAAGAAAATGAATAAAGGCGATGAATTTTAGGATGCAGCAATCTGTAGATGTATTGCACAAAACTATGATGACTACGATATGAATAAGGTCATGAGCATGAGAATATTACCTCTTGACAGGCTCCATTTCATTCCATTAATTTACTTGCTTACTGTTGTATGACTCATAAATCAATAATAAGTAATAATAGAATGATCATATAAAAGTATAAAGACATAGTGTTGTGATGATTTATTAATAATATTATTAAAAAATTATATATTATTAATAATACAATAATAAATTATTAATATAAATATTGATGCTAACGTTTGCCAAAACATTCATACGCGTATAATGGAATGCTTGATCACAGCCGAGCAAATTCTACAAGACAAAAACTACATAGCAGCGTTCAAGAAAGGGGTTATAACAGACAAAAGAGATCTTCCCTACTAAAACATCTTTACCTGCGACAATCTGCTGTTTCTCGATGACAAATTATCCGTTTTATAGCACCACTCTGCCGCGGCTGAATTTTTCTACAGGGCATTACGTGCTCATCAAAAGATTAGTGCGTGAGAATTCATACATCACGTAAGTTTCAGGGAAAAAAACGAATTGGAGTGGGAAGGCCCGCGCTAACACAATCTTCTGGAAAAACCTACTAGCTTTTCACAGAGCAGTAGGTAGTATCAAAAGGAATCAATGGATTCTGTGGCCTTTACGGAGAGGATTACGGAAAATCTCAACTTTAAAGTGAGCCCTTCTCTTCCGTCGTATTTGCGTCGCTTAGTGCCAGTCACGCTTTCGCGGAAATGTATTCAGATATCGAGCTTACTCCGAGTTATTTCCATAATAATAATAGAACTGCAGCATTTTGACTAGCACATTGATATTTCAATAACAACATGAGCAGTCATTCAGTAATATCGCCATTAAAACAAGAATAACAACAATTTGGCTCACATTTTGGACCTTGATTCAACGATCTGGGTATTCAAGTAGCTAGAAACTTCAATCGTTCATTTGTATCTCAGCATTTTGCGACATTCATAAATGGGTCAACAAGTTCTGACAATTTCACATTTTGTAAGAAGAGCAGCGAAACAAGGCAATAGTATTACGTTACAGCTACCAGGTAGAGTTCATGAATGTCTGTTCCCGTTCAGGTGCGAACATTTACTCAGTCTGTGGAACATAAGAACAGTGAGGGACAGAAAACCGATTACAAACTTCTACTTGTGTCTAGGAATACGTTGTGAGATTCTGATCACTGTGAAAGGCAAAAATGTTTACTTGAGTTGGCAAAAACGACTATGTTTGTGAAGAAGGTCGGATAAAATTGTTAGAAAAGATTGTAGCCAATCAAGCTTCTCTAGCAGAATTTTCTAGACCGACTACCTTTGCAGAATAGAGAAATTTCTTTGCGCCCTTGTCGAGAACATTGACCGCTGCTTGACATTCGTATTTTTCATCATGAAAAACATTTGGACTTTTGAATTCTTTACAAGCGTACGATCTACGGATACACAGCAGAATTTGGATACTGCTCTGAGGAAAGCGAAATGAAACGAGCGGGGAAGCGGTATTAGAGGTTATTGGAGTATGAATAGTGTGAAGACGTAAAGAAAGTTTAGTAAGTTTTGTGCAAGCCCCGCTGCGGAACTTGAACATTCCTTGTTAGCAGTTTCGTCCTTGTTCCCACGCTAGAGAAAAAAACCCATACCTTCTCCTTGCTGGACTGCTGTACGGTCGTTCTTCTTCAAATGCAGAAAAGCATGACGGCGTCGAACTCTCTTGTGTGGGCGGCGATGCGTTCGGGTGTAGGGAAGCTCTTCTGGCTGCCTGAATAGCTGTCGCTAAAAAATTCTAGCAACGAATATTATGGAGTTGCAAAGAAAATGAAGATAACGGAATACTTTCGATAATGAGCAAAGCATCAGTTTATGAAGGAGTAAAAGCCGCATAGTCAGAAAGGTGGCGATCCTTTTGCGGCTAAAGCAACAGGTACGCATTAGAACACTGAAATGAGCGGACATCCGGAGGAGCAGACACCAAAGAAACGCTTGCTCACGTAGACAGTTGAGTTTGCAGGACCAAGCGAGTAGGAGGAAAGGTAAGCGAGTTTTTGCCCTCTTGCCCTGCGATGTCGTTCAGGCGCGAATTCATGCAAATTTACTTGGTAGCAACGATGAAGCCCGATTCAAAGGGCGCCTCTCGACGGCCGAACGTTACTTGCTCGAGCCTGGAGGCTGACGCAAAATGGTCACCGCTTCATCCAACGATAGGGCCGTGTGGCAAATTAGCCTAGTTGCTCCCTTGAGCTGATAATAAGCCAAATCTAGCGGCGCTTTATCTGCTGCGGGAAGTATGATTGTTCTGCATGCAATCTGCGCAGGTGCTTCCGGGGGGGGGGAGGGGGGGGGGGGAGGGGGGACGTTTTCACGCATTTCGGAGAATCGAGGCTCACGTGTTCATACAGGCACTCGCACGCAAATTTCACAGTGTGACGACACTCACCCCGCTCCGGATGCAAGACTCAGAATCAGCAGGCCTGCCAATATCACGCAATTCCCTTCATGGAAGTGTGTTGATGCATTCACAAGCTCTTTGCAACTTTTCGAAACTCTTCCCTGTTTGCTGCTAGAAGAGAAGGATGAGCCAAGCACTAGCGAATATTCGGGAGATTCAGTCTGAAGAGGCAATCAAGCTCATAAAAGAGGGAGCACAATGGCGGCGACCAACAAGGAACGAAAGAGGTAAGAGACCTCTTCCAGAAATCGACGACAAATGGATGCAGAAAGCTTTGAGGAAGGGGTGGAGTAAGAAGGAGTTAGTAATCGTACAGTCATCACCAAAAGAATGGCAGGATCAATGAACGAAATCAGTGCGCCATGTGATTCAGATGAACTGCGTCAACACTGTAATTGACAAGAACAACGCTAACACTGTTCTTCCTGAGGTTCCCCAAAATGAGTGAGAACCACTTCATCCATGCTTTGGTTTTAAGAATCATGGGTGTAAGAAGACACTGACCTCAAGGACTGCAGTGGGGAAGTCGAGCGATGGACGGGAAAGCTGTTGTTTCTTCTCATGTTGTTTCGAATTCCTTGGCTGGACTGAAACTATGCAATGCGACAAAGATTAAACAAAGGATAATGGCAACATGCCTGATATAGGCACCCCATCATCTTTGCTCTTGCTTCGACTGGTCACTGAAAATTAAATAATTCAAGTCAAAGATATCTTTTTGAATAAATGCCGACTTGTTGGCTGCTATCGTACGAATTTTACAAATGTGAAAAGACAGTTATTTGCATGCTTGCTATTATAGTCGAACTCTGCAGTTTTCCCATATCTTGTGGAATATTTATTTCCCGACTTAGAAGATGCTCATTTTTTGTAGCTTCTCTTTCATAGACATTTTATTGAGACGTATCGAAATAGCTTTCCGGGGGTTCAAAATCATGTTTATGTCCACGATCGTTGCAGTAATTTGAGCGCACAGCTATCCTAATTACGTTAGAGCTCACCTTTCACGATAACATACCCATATACACAGCGATTACATAGTGAAATGCACAAACTGGGAAAACGAACTCCGCCTTGTGCTGCTGGCTCGGCAAGACATTGATCCTAACGTAGGTCTGGCGCTGAACTGAACGCTCCGTGTTCGATGTATTGAAGTGCGGATCATGCCGACGTTGATGCTTGATGACTGGACGGCAATGAATCCAGGACTGCCACACATCTCCGACTCAATTGTGAGCAGTTGGAAACGTCAAGTGTTTGTTCAGCACGAGTCTATGAGCAAAGAAGCTCATGGTTCTAGACTAGCAATTTGGTGCGATCTCCAATAGTTTGGAGCTGTTGGAGCGACGAATCCGAAGGAAGACAAACAAATCAACTTTGGGGCAGAGCAAAATAGGGTCATCAAGACTCGTTAGGTACTGGATTTACGGCGCGGATTAGTTCCTAAGTGATGACTGGTACGTGGTGGCCCATTCAAGATGAGCAATAGTTTTGCAGTCACGTTATGCTTTCATTCCCCCTATTCATATCTATTCCCGATGTGCTTTCTAGTTATGTCCTGCAAAGGACTATAATACGTGAATTGAGAAGTTGGGACCTTATTTGTTTTACGTTCAGAGCAGCTGCCAAATTTTGACTGACTCTACCTCTGCTTCGCATGGAAGGCGGAGCCAGCGATTGGCGTCGCCAAGCAAACGCACGGCCAACGATCATTACATCTGAAAAACGGTGTCAAAATCTATGTGTTTCATTTCTCAAGGGTGTGAGAAGAGCTAAGGTATGTAGTTCATAACCAAAAAAGCCATCATGTAACAATAATACGCAACTGACATCTTGACGCCCCTCTCTCCAAGAGAAATAGAGATATACCATAAAAACCTACAAAAACACTATGGCCAAGATAGGAGAAAAAAGTCAGAATGCTACGCTGAGTTCATTCGTTTTGGAGGCATGATCATCTATGATTATTGGTAATATTCTATGCCGCAACAGCCTTTTCATGGGAACATCCCTTTTGGACCTCGAGTTCAAGCAAAAAGCCGTGATCAGGGGCTCCAGGTTGTGTTTATAATTCTCAGCTTGAAGAATAGAAATAATTTATCACATTCCAGTACTCTTCTTGTTCAAAATCCGAGTTAAACGGAGTTTGCGACTAGGCTTGCAATGCAATATACCACATTCGTTGCCTCACAGCATTTGCTATTCTTCCATCATTTTATTTGTTATCACTCTCGCTCGTAGTATGATGTTGCCAGCATTTGACATGTATCCCCTTCGACATACTGGTCGTAAAAATTTTACCTCAATTTTCCTTTTTTGATATCCTATCGACAAAATTTGGCAAAATATTAGGTTGTGCAAAAATAATTTCGAATTTCCACTTTGACGTGCTATAACATTCTAATCTTATATATAAAGCTGAATGTCTGTTTGTCTGTCTGTCTGTACGTCTGTATGTCTGTCTGTCTGTACGTATGTTCCGAATAGAAAATTCCATTTCTGAACCGATCCGGACCAAACTTGGCACACATGCACTTCGGGCCCCGGCGGGTGTCATAGGCTACTTTTCGCATCGATCGATATCGATTTTATCGATCTTTTGCAAAATTTGAGCTGCGGGCTGGGAGTTGGCACAGGGGGGTAATCGAGCATGCTGATTATGAATATAATAATGACAGGGCCGGGCGGAGCCGGGTAAGCCAACTAGTAATCTATAATTCTGAATAATAAAGACCATCAGAAACAAAGAACCTTTTGCGATACAAGGCACATTCATTCACACTCAAATCACAAACGCGTAGAAAAATATGGATTGAAAAACGAGAATTTTTTTGCACAACTTTGTTTTTGACAAACAACTATAACAACTAACAAATATAATAATGACGAATTATAACTCCCTGCACAGTTTGTTAGTGCGAATGATAAGTTGCCCTTTCGTAGCCGCAAGCCAGTAGGGCAAAAAAATGAAAGGGGAATTTGGACAAAGAAAATTTGCGACCAGGGCTCGACACGCTGGTATGGAGCAAATTTGAAAACAAAGTCCTATGACTACGTAAATTCTACGAAATCGCCCTTGACGCTGAAATAACTGTGGAACTATCCTTGCATTTATAAAGTACAGAAGCAAAAAAAGCATAAAATGAGGTGTCTAACGCACAAAAAACGCAAGAAAAACATATTCTGAGGTGTTTGATCGAAGTCTCTGTGATTGAGAATGGTACCATTTTATTGTTCAGTATGTCGAAAACCCGTTAGGCTAACATCTAAGGAAATCTGTAGCTTACAACAACCCCGTCGCCAGACTGTTGTGGGCCAATTGACACACATGAGTGGAGCGCAATTTTTACCGATGCGCATGTTTATGATTTTTGGCTCAAAAATGACGAGAGGCAATGGTTTGATTGTTCTCTTCACTTTATGATAGTGGGCGTTGATTTTGTGCTGATCTAGAGAACAACAAATTCGGAAACGGGTATTAGGACACAAGGGTTTCTAAGACTTCTTACATAATGTGGTTCGGATTGATATTTCATACACACAGTCTAGATTCAGTCTCATGTGATTGTTTATGCGCTGTAAACAAGCCATTTATTTATTTTGGTCTTGCATTCAAAATTCGCATGAACGCGTAAAACCTGACATGCTGGATTTTTTCCGGATCTCAACCCTGGACCCTGAAAAACGATATCCTCTTTGTTTTGAATCCCCAAAAAAGGACTCCGGTTTAACCCCAGACCATCTGTGCCAGACCCTGCTCCCAGCCGCACTGCCTAAAGTTTGCAGAGAAATCGACTAAATCACGCATTATGATCTACACAACAATCGTGTGTACGTATTTCTGCTGGGATTACAAAAGTGGGCCAAAAACACGAAAATATTGCCTATCTCATATTTCCACGAATTTGATATTTCTCTACAACTAGTGCTAAAAAACTGCAATTTATTCACTATTGAGGCTTTCAATATGGAATTCCTTATGTCAGAACAGTCCAGCATTGCTTGGAAGCTAAAAAGGAAAGGTATGATTGCAATAGTCAACATGCACATTATCGTAGGACCACTAACGCGTGGCCAGAACGAACGCTCAGCATTGCAAAACTTTTCCAGCCAAACACACTATTTAACGAATAAATAAATAAATAAATATCTATATATTAGGTTGGCACGAAAGTTTTTGCGTAATTCAAACAAAATTCAATAACTTTGCAAAGACTAAACCTAAATTCACAATCTCGTATGCTAAAAATATTAGAAGCCTTACGCTTCATGACGAATGTTTAAGCATAAGATTCCGTGAGCTGGACATCAAGAACGAAGCTCTCAAACATGGGGCTTCAAATTTTGCGATTTTGAGTTTGGTGGCAGAAAATCGCAAAGGGCCGCTAGCTAGCCGAAAAAAATCGGTAGAATTAACCTACACAACAAAAGTCCATACGTTATTTTAGCAGGCTTTGATCTCGCATGGAAATGCGAAAACAAAAAATTTGTGAAATTTCTCATTTCACAGGACAAATCCCCTCATCGCACTAACTTTTCCACAGAAACACAGTTTGCAACCAGAAATTAGACATAGTGCCTATTCAGAGCCTTGCGACGTTTTCTCCATTGTAAAAAAAGTGTTTTCGCCGGAAAACTGCGGACATGAGGGAAGCTCCGTATTCGAGAGCTTCGTTTTTGATGTCCAGCTCATGGAAACTTATGCTTAAACATTCTTCATGAAGCGTAAGGCTTCTAATATTTTTAGCGTACAAGACTGTGAATTTAGGTTTAGTCTTTGAAAAGTTATTGAATTTTGTTTGAATTACGCAAGAACTTTCGTGCCAACCTAATAGTATAAACATATTCTTAGGCCATCACAGGAAGAAGTTGCGTTTTGAGATTTAAACGTGTTATAACTCTAGGGTAAGGTTACATGTCGAAAAAGCTTATTGTACCTCAAACCTTCAATTGGTTAGGGTGCTCAGATCTCAGAACTGTTTTAGTGCAATGATTACAACTTTCGCTATTCGAGAAGAGTAAAACTTGTTTTGAACTGCCTGACTTCAGCGTGAAGCAGATATAGTAAAAATAGTTATTGTGAATTCACTAAATATTTTTATGCGAGAAGTTGCAGCTTTGAGTGCCAGAGCTGTGCTCGAGGTGTTCGTACTATTACGAACAGTTAAAAATTCATATTTGGCGCATAATTCCTCCTAAGATCAACACCGACCTTTTTTTGCTGCGTATATCGTTTTTGGCTATAGTATTCACGTAGCAACAGCACTTTTTGTTTTCTTCCAGAAATCCCAGAACTCTCAAAATGAAAAGTGTCCATCTGATGATGGACCGCACTTTAGGTAATGCGATAACTAACACTCTCGAGCAAATCGGACATTTGTGAGATTCTTGGGACGAAAACCAATTTTTATTTCTTATGATTTCCCAAAATTCGAAAATTCTGTGATTATTGAATATCTTGCAGAACTTTTGCTCTTTCAGATGATATGTGCATAGATTTGTGAGGATGATTACTTTACGTTGGCACAAAAGTCATTGCGTTAATCGCGCGAATCAATTACGTTCTATACTTATAAAAATTTATCATCTTTCTGGTTAAAAACAGAAGAGGTTTGCGTTCCATGAATATCAAGCGTAACTTCTAAGAGACAGAGAACGCAGCTTCCGAAAAGGGCGTTCCAAATTCTGCGATTTTGAGTCTGGGGCCAAAAAATGCCGAAGGAGCTAGCCACCTCAAAAAAATTTGTAAGAATTTTTTACTTAGCAGAGTAGTAGGCTTCAATCTCGCGCAGATTGCCAATAAGAAATTTCTTGATGTCATTCTGCAGGGAAAACCCCCTTAGTGATGCACTTCCACAGCAAAAACACGGTTTTACGTTCAAAAAAGTCAAGTAGTTTAGAATATGCACTACTCTATGGCACCATTACTGAAAGAAGACATTACCGCAACTTCTTCTCGACAGAATGGAATCCGTCACGAAGAATTCCCGCACCAACTCTCTTGGCTTCATACTACTGACTGCGGCCCTTCAGATCATAAAGACATCTACGTCTCCAGTACTAGACTATCTTTTCTGCGAGCTTGTGCGGGTCAGGAACACTGTTTATATGAAAATCTAGCGCAGTATCCAGCACTTTATCTTTGAAAGGAGAAGATTTTCGATCAATGGAAATATGAGCTTTTTGATCTTGTGAAGAGTCAAATGCAATGGTCATGATTTGAGATAGCTATCATTAAGTGATTGAGGGGGGAATACATATAGTGGCAGACCAAGGTTATGATTTTGGAGATACCCTATTTGCTTCCAAGTCATCCGGTGAGTACGTGGTTAGAATGTCGAATAGCTCAAACCTCGACACGAAACGATTTCTAAGGTTTGTAGAAGTCGTTTGAAGAAACCTTTTCGATGGCAGGGCTCTGTATGTTCGGGAAAGGCGTAATGAAATAGCTGGTATAACGCACAGTAAATAGGTTTTGTGTTATTTTGTCAATCGCTGGAATTTTCTGGAAAGGTTTTTGATACTCGGTGCACAGCGAAATCTTTTTGAAGTTGCCCGGCCCTTAGTCAAGTTTCTACGCTAGCATTTCAAAGATTCCTCATGATTACACCCAAAAATTGATTCATACGCAAAAAAAGTTGCTTGCATAAACCTACATTCAGTAGATTTTCTCCAAATCTGATTCTATTTTTTCAAATCACTTTGTATTTGAGAAGTG